TCAAGGAACTGTAAGAACAGTCCACGAGAAGAACTTTACACATATGAATAAATACACACTGCATAGGGAGTAAACACAGAGTAATTGAAGGGATGGCATCAGCATCGTGGGGGTCAGAAAAGCTTCATGTAGGAAGCAGCATTTGCACAGAACTCTGAGGGAAATTACAGAACAGAAAAGGTGGAGGTGAGGGGTGAGTGAGCGTGTTCCAGGCAGGCCTGTTTAAAGTCTTATCACCACCCCACCGAAGATGAGACATGGAATGCTAGCTGTAGGACACTTTGGCTGAGATGTAGATAGCATTAAATGGAGTATGTCTGTATTAAGCCTGAAGAGGTAGGCTAGAATGAGCTTGTGAAAGGATTTAAATACCAAACAGAGAAGTGTTTAATCTTAGAGGCAACAGAGATTTACTGAAGCTTTCTTAGCAGAGGAGTGGTATAGTTATACCTGATCAAAAGGAACATCACTTTGGTAGCCATGTAGAATATGGACTGGGAACAGAAAAGGAATGAGCATTTGTATCATCTATCATGTGCCAGACTGTGCTAAGTGCCTTTGACAAATATTCTGTTTTGATCTCATTTTGATCCTTACAACAATCCTCCAGATAGGTGCTATTATTATCCCCATTTGACAGGTGAGGAAACTGAAGCAAACAGAGGTTAAGTGACTTGCCCAGGGTCACACTGCTAGTTTGTGTCTAAGGCTGGATTGAAACTCAGGGACATCCTTGTTTCACTTCTGATCTTACTGGAAATGCTTCTCACTTGTCCGCATTACATATGATGCTTGCTGAAGGTTTTAGGTAGATGCTGTTTATTATTTTAAGGAAGACTCATTTATTCCTATGCTCTCTAGTGTTTTTAATAGGAATGGGTGTTGTATTTTGTCAAAAGCTTTTTCTGCATCTATTAGATGATCATGTGGTTTGTTAATTTTGTTCTTGAGCTGATCAATTATGCTGATAGTTTTCCTAATATTGAACCAGCCCTACATTCCTGGTATAAATCCTACCTGGTCATAGTGTAATATTCTTGTGAAAAGTTGCTGTAAACTATTTACTAATATTTTGTTTAAAATTTTTCCATCTATATTCATTAGGGAAATTGGTCTATAATTTTCTTTCTCTGTTCCGACTCTCCCCAGTTTAGGTATCAGCACCATATTTGTATCATAGAAAGAATTTGTTAAGACTCCTTCTTCGCCTATTTTCCCAAACAGTCTATATAGTATTGGAATTAATTGTTCTTTAAATGTTTGATAGAATTTGCTTTTAAATCCATCTGGCCCTGGAGATTCTTTCCTAGGGAATTTATAAAAGGCTTATTCAATTTCTTTTTCTGAGATGGGGTTATTTAAGTATTTTACTTCCTCTTCTGTTAATCTGGGCAATTTATATTTTTGTAAATATTCATTCGTTTCACTAAGATTGTCAAATTTATTGGCATACAGTTGGGCAAAATAGTTCCTAATTATTGTTTTAATTTCCTCTTCCTTGGTGGTGGATTCACCCTTTTCATTTTTGATACTGGTAATTTGGTTTTCTTCTTTTTTTTTAATTAAATTGACCAAAAGTTTATCTATTTTATTGGTTTTTTTTCATAAAACCAGCTCTTGACATTATTTATTAGTTCAACAGTTTTCTTAATTTCAATTTTATTAATCTCTCCTTTGGTTTTCAGTATTTCTAATTTAGTGTCTAATTGAGGATTTTTAATTTGTTCTTTTTCTAGTTTTTTTTAGTTGCATGCCCAATTCATTGATCTCTTTTTTCTCTATTTTATTCATGTAAGCATTTAGAGATATAAAACTTTCGCTACATCCCATAAGTTTTGGTATGCTATCTCATTATTGTCATTCTCTTGAATGAAGTTATTGATTGTTTCTATGATTTGCTGTTTGACTCATGCATATTTTGGGATTAGATTATTTAGTTTCCAATTATTTTTTAGTCTATCTTTCCATGGCCTTTATTATATATAATTTTTATTACATTGTGATCTGAAAAGGATGTATTTAATATTTCTGCCTTTCTACATTGGACTGTGAGATTTTTATGCCCTAGTACATGGTCAATTTTTGAGTAGGTGCCATGTACCACCAAGAAAAATGTATATTCTTTTCCATCCCCATTCAGTTTTCTCCAGAGATCTACCATATCTAACTTTTCTAATATTCTATTCATTTCCTTAATGTCTTTCTTGTTTATTTTGTGATTAGATTTATCTAGTTCAGAGAGGGGAAGGCTGAAGTCCCCCACTAGTATAGTTTTGCTGTCTATTTCTTCCTGTAACTCCCTGAATTTCTCCTCTAAGAATCTGGATGCTATACCATTTGGTGCATATATGTTTAGTAATGATATTACTTCATTGTCTATGGTGCCTTTTAGCAGGATGTAGTTTCCTTCCCTATCTCTTTTGATAAGATCTATTTTTCCTTTTGCTTCGCTTGAGATCAGGATTACTACCCCTGCTTTTTTATTACAGCTGAAGCATAATATATTCTACTCCAGTCTTTTACTTTTACCCTGTGTGTCCCTCTGTCTCAAATGTGTTTCCTGTAAACAACATATTGTAGGATTATGGTTTTTAATCCATTCTGCTCTCCACTTCTGTTTGATGAGAGAGTTTATCCCATTCACATTCACAGTTATGATTACTATCTGTGTCTTTCTCCAAAGAATTTTCTTCAAAGTCTTCCAAAGACCTCAGCTTCTGGGATAAGAAGTCACTATTTGACAAAAACTTCTGGGAAAACTAGAAAAGAGTATGGCAGAAACTAGGCATAGACCAATATCTCACACCATATACCAAAATAAAGTCAAAATGGATTCAGGATTTAGATATAAAGGCTGAAACTACAAGCAAACTGGGAGAGCAAGGAATAGTTTACCTGTCAGATTTATGGAGAACAGAAGAATTCATGACTGAACAAGAGATAGAGGGCATTACAAAATGCAAAATGGATAATTTTGATTACATTAAATTGAAAAGTTTTTTTGCACAAACAAAGCCAATGCAAGGAAGATTAGGAAGGAAGTAGAAAATTGGAAAAGAATTTTTACAACCAGTCTCTCTGATAAGGGCCTCATTTCTAAAATGCATAGAGAATTAGGTCAAATTTATAAGAATACATGTCATTCCCCAATTGATAAATGGTCAAAGGATATGAACAGGTAGTTCTCAGATGAAGAAATTAAAGCCATCTATAGTCATATGAAAAAATGCTCTAAATCACTATTAATTAGAGAAATGCAAATCAAAACAACTCTGAGGTACCACATCACACCTATGAGACTGGCCAACATGACAAAACAGGAAAATGATAAATACTGGAGAAGATGTGGGAAAATTGGAACACTAATGCATTGTTGGTGGGGTTGTGAAATGATCCAACCATTTTGAAGAGCAATTTCAAACTATGCCCAAAGGGCTATAAAAATGTGCATACCCTTTGACCCAGCAATACCACTTCTAAGGCTATATCCCAAATAGATCATACAAATGGGAAAAGAACCCACATGTACAAAAATATTCATAGCAGCTCTTTTTGCGGTGGCAAAGAATTGGAAATTGAGAGGATGCCCATCAATTGGGGAATGGCTGAACAAGTTGTGGTATATGAATGTAATGGAATACTATTGTGCCATAAGAAATGAAGAGCAGGCAGATTTCAGAACAACCTGGAAAGACTTGTATGGACTGCTGCTGAGTTAAGCAAGCAGAACCAGGAGAACGTTGTACACAGTAACAGCCACGTTGTGCGATGACTAGTATTGATAGACTTAGCCCTTCTCAGCAATGCAAGCATCTAAAGTCCCATGATGTAAATTGCTATCCACATCCAAAGAATGAACTATAGAGCTTAAATGCAGATTGAAGCATACTATTTGCTATTTTTTTTCCTTCTGTTTTGTTTTGTTTCCTCTTTCTGGTGGTTCCTCCTATTGCTTCTAATTCTTCCTTACAACATGACTAATGTGAGAAAAAGAAAGAAAGAAAGAGAGAGAGAAAGAAAGAGAGAGAGAGAAAGAGAGAGAGAAAGAAAGAGAGAGAGAAAGAAAGAGAGAGTAAGAAAGAGAGAAAGAGAGAAAGAGAGAAAGAGAGAAAGAGAGAAAGGGAGAAAGAAAGATAGAGAAGGAAAGAAAGAGAGAAAGAAAGAAACAAAGAAAGAAAGAAAGAAAGAAAAGAAGGAAAGAAGGAAGGAAGAAAGAAAGAGAAAAAGAGAGAAAGAGAGGGAAAGAGAGAGAGAGAGAGAAACAAACAAACAAACAAACAAATAAACAAACAAACAAACAAACTCAGGGAGATGAGTTTTCCTCACTCCAGGCCCAGCACTCCATTCACCATACTACCTAGATGCCTAATGTGTATATATTATTTATGTACATGTTGTGTCCCCCAATAAAATGAAAGTTATTTGAAAGCAAGGACATGCAGACGGAGAAGCCAATGGTGAAGGAATATTCCCAGCAGGTGCATAAGTAACTTTGTCTTTGACTCTATAACCTTAGAATATAGCACAGTATTTGGCACAGAGTAAGTACTTAAATTTGCATAAACAATTGTACAAATCAATGAACTCAAGACCAAAGGAGTTGTATCTATGGGGATGACTATAGGAATGGTGATTCAAACTATTTCAATGTTCAACGAAAACAGCAGGGCCATATGATATCAACGTAAAAATCATTATTTTCCTTTTTAGTAAACAAAAACACACACACCAAGTCACAAGGTTATTTTATAGTACAGATACATGAAAAGTAAATAAGAAATTTAGTGACTGATTTATTCAAATGAGAAAAAATACCCAAACCCATTACTAAAGCCTAACCATAGAATTTATTAAAAGCTTAGAACAGTTTTCAGTTGGCTAGAATAATTTATCTAGAGCAATCCAAATATTAAAACCCTGAGGGCTCTTGCTAAAACTAAAAATTTTGGCCCTCGTTCTTTCCACACAATTTGGGTTTCCTTTCAAATTTGATATCTTACCAAACAGAGCCATCTGTGTTCCCTCTGGGAAAGGTTCAACAGTCCTATTTCCATTGACATGATGTTTGCCTAGAAAAAAAAGAAAGAAAAAATGCAAAATTTTAAGTGGAAGTCCATAAACACATATTGACAGACATATTTTAAAATGTCAGTGAGCCCAATTCTTCAGTTCTAACTCTAAAGGCACAAAAATATGCCCTCAAGACACTGTATGTGTGTGTGGATAGATAGACAGATAGATAGATAGATAGATAGATAGATAGATAGATAGATAGATAGATAGACAGACAGACAGATAGATAGATAGTTGTCATTTCAGTCATGTCTGATTCTTCATGACCCCATTTGGGGTTTTCTTGGCAAAGATACTGGAGTGGGTTGCTCTTTCCTTCTCCAGAGCATTTTACAGATAAAGAAACTGAGGCAAAGAGGGTTAAGTGACTTGCCCGAGGACATACAGCTAACAAGTATCCCAGGCTGAATCTGAACTCAGATGTTCCTGTCTTCAGGCCTGGTGCTCTATCCACTGTGCCACCCTGCTGCCCTTACACATACACACACACATACCTGTATACATGTGACATATATGTGTGTGTATAATAAATATATATTTATATGTTATACATATGTATGTGAATATATTCATACATATATACGTATGCATGTATGTATTATAGAAAACCAAAAGCCATTCCCAAGTGAATGAGTAGTCAAAAGGTATAAACAAACAATTCTCAAAATAAAAATTTCAAACTATCAACAACCCTATGAAAGAATGGTCTAAATCATTAATGATAAGAGAAATGCAAATCCAAACAACCTCGAAGTTTCACTGCACACATAACAAACTAATAAAGATAACAAAAGAGGAGAGTAGTCCATGCTAGACAGGTGGTAGAAAGATAAGCACACTGTTGTGTTGCTAGTGGATCTGTCAATCAGTTAAAGCATTTTGGAAAACAATCTGAGGGGAAGCTAGATGGAACAGTAGATAGAGCACTGGCCCTGGAGCCAGGAGAACCTGAGTTCAAATTCGACCTTAGACACTTACTAGCTGTGTGACTCTGGGCAAGTCACTTCACTTTGCCTCCCAAAAGAAAAAAAAAATCTGAATTATGGAAATAAAATGCTTAAAATGTCCATACCCTTTTACCCAGAGACTAGACTACTAGTCATATCCCTCAAGGAAGCATTTAATAAGAAGTAAATTTCCATATACACCAAAATACTTAGAGTAGCACCAAAAAACTATCAACAAAGTAGTTACTCATTGCTTTGAGAATGGCTAAACAACTCTGATACATTAATATGATGGAATATTACTGTACTGGAAGAAATGAATATGATGAATGATAAGAAGCATGGAAAGGTCTACATGAAATGATGCAGAGCACAGAAAAGAACAGAGAAAATGCCTAAAAGTATGTAAACAGAAACCACAAAAACAACCACAAGTAATGTTGCCAAATACAAAGCACACACATAGCTTGAAAGAACTGATGAGAAGATACTCCAACCCTACTTCTTTTGATCCACCGGTGTACTACAATGGATACATTTTCAGGCTTTTTCAATGTACTGAATGGTTTTGCTAACGTTTTGTTCCTCTTTTTCACTTTTTGTTTCTTAAAAATATTATTTTTAGGGGCAGTGGACAGAGCACCAAGCCTGGAGTCTGGAGGACCTGAGTTCAAATCCGGTCTCCAACCAGATACTTGATACTTATTAGCTGTGTGACCCAAAGTGAGCAAGTCACTTAACCTCAATTGCCCCGCAAAAATAAAATAAAATAAAATAATAAAATAAAATAAAATAATATTTTTATATGAAATTCCTCTCTGGAAAGGGGAAAGAGTTTACTGGGGAAAATTTTGGTGATATAAAAACAAAAGATAGAAATAAAATTCATTTTTTTTAAAAAAGGGGGGAAAGAATTAGGAAATTCAGTCAATAAACATTTATTAAGCCTGTACTAGTGCCAAGCACTGTGATTAAGTGCTGGAGATACAAAAATGTAAAAAACAATCCCTGCCCTCAAGACTGTAAGTCTAATGGAAGAGACAACATGCAAACAACTATGTGCAAACAAGATACATGAGATGAAATAGGAGATAATCATGGAGGAAAGGCATTAATATCAAAAGGGATCAAGAAAGGCTTTCTATAGAAGATAAAACTAACGGAGACTTAAAAGAAGCCAGGAGACCTAGGAGTCAGAGATGAGGAGAGAGTTCTAGGCCTGGGAAACAGCCAGTGAAAATGGTTAGTGAAGTGGTGGAAGTATATTATTCCAGGAACAGGAAAGACGCCAGTACCACTGCATCAAAGAATATATGGGGGTCAGGAAGGTATAAGAAGACTGAAAAGTTGGGAAGGGGTCTGGTTTTAAAGGGCTTTGAACACCAAACAGAGGATTTTATACTTAATTATTTAATCCTTGAGATGATGGAGAGTTTTTTGAAAGGAGGGGGGAAGGGAGGTAGAGCTGGGGAGGATTGACATGTTAGACCTGCACTTTAAGTTAGCAAATGATTAAGGTACAGGAATAGAACAGAAAACAAGGTAGCCTGATTTTATGACAAGGACAAAGAATAACAGATGGACAGCACAAATGCTGCACTGGTACCCAAAAACATTAGACCTAGATGAAAGTCTCCAAAACGTTGAAGAGACTTCTATGATACATTTATAGAAGTACACGTACAAGAGTCAGCACAGAGGATGAGGTGAGGACAGGCTGGTGGAACAAGAATACACATTGATGAGAACACAGATCCATTAAATTATCAAAGTACAGATTCAGATACAACCAAGGCAACAATGAAATGGTTGTGGGATCATTCCAGGCCCTCATTTTCAAGAAACAAATAGGACAGCATTCCACCTTATCCTACAATTCTTCAAATGCAGATGCCTATAGCTTCGTAAAGATGAGGTTGATATCAGAAAGAATACAATTAACATTCTTTTTTTTCCTCAGTTCATGCTATTTGAGTCAGAGCATAAGCTCAGAAGATGTGAAAAGAAGCTAGTTTAAGAACTTCAAAAATTAACCTGCTTTCATAACACCTGGCAAATGACTATAATAGAATGAAGGGTAACTGTATATTCAAGCATATGATCATGTTCTTATCAGTCTTATCCAATTTTAAATGTAAACCATTTTGGAGTGAGTCAGGGACCATATTTCCTATACTATGGTATCCCAATAAATATGAAGAGAAAAATATCTAAGATAATAACTTAATATCATATTACAGTGCATGTGAGTTTTAGTTTATTAGGTTATAGGAGTTTTACTAAATAACTACAATGTACTAAGAACTGTAGAAACAGAGTTAGAGAGATAAGACAAAGAACAATACTCCATTATTTCTGATTCTCCCTTTTCAAGTTGGTTTCATCAATCTACTACTTTTAACCAGAACCAAATGATTTTGATGAATGCTACTTTAAGGATATAGTATGAGGATTAAAAGTATTATTCTCCTTTCATTCTTACCTTTTTTTTTTTTCATTGTTTCCCTTGATATTCTACAACTTGTCCCTCCAAATAAAAATTCTTATTGAGTTCTGTAACATATCTCTTTGATAGTTTCATTGGTATAGCATTAAATTATATTATTAAATTATTAAATATAAATTAACTTTAAAAGCATTGTCATTTTTATCATATTGGCATGGCCCAGTCATGAACACTGACAATTCCTTCAGCTATATAAGTTGTTTTTTTATTTCTTTAAAGATCACTTTGTAATTAAATCTATATAAGTATTTTGTGTCCTTTGGTAGACTGAATCCCATATATTTTATTTTGAATGGATTTCTCTATTATTGTCTCTTGGATTATGTTATTATTACAGAAAATTGTTGTTGATTTTGTGGCCTGCAATTTTACTGGAGTTACTGTCTTAATTAGCATCTTTGCCAACTCTCTAGGATATTTTAAAGTAAATATCAGGTCATCAGCAAATAGGGATAGTTTTATCTCCTCTTTGCCTATCTTGGCCCCTTAAATTTCTTTTTTGTCATATATATACATATATATATGTACATATGTATAGATGAATAACTAGCATTTCTAGAACAATATCAAATTATAGCAAGAAAAGAAGTCATCCTTTCTTTATCTCTGCATTAACTGGGAAATCTTCTAGTTTAACCGTTGGCATATGATTTTTACTTATGACTTTAGATAATTTTATGATATTAAAAAATCCCTCTATACCTATACTTTGTAGAGTTTTTAGCATAGAAAAGTATTACACTTTGTTAAAAGCTTTTTTCTGAATATATAATATAATCATGTGGATCTGGATTATTGTTCTTAACATGATTATTTTGCCTGTTTTCCTACACCTGGAATCCCTGTATAAATCAAACTTGACCACAATTAATAATTTATTGGATGAATTACTATAGTCTGTTTAACAGGATTTATTTAAAATTTTTAATTGATATTCATTATTCATATTGCTCTATAGTTCTCCTGTGCTTTATCCTCCTCTGTTTTAGGTATTGGGATTATATTATATTGGAATAATATAATGTATGTTATATATTATATTATGTTCCAAAAGGATCTGGTTAGGATGCTTTGTTTCTCAATTTTTCCCAAGTTTTTCCATGTCCTAATTTTGCCTATTTTACTGCAGGCAGACTTTACCCCCCTAGATCATTCCTTGTCAGTATAGGGAGCCCAAAAATAAAGAGGGTTACCTAACAAAGAAGTGAATTTCCCATCACTAGATGCATTTAAAGAGACCATTTACCAAGCATATTGTAAAGGGAATTGTTGCTCTATATTAAAGGGAGGACAAGGTACCATCTAAGGTTCCTTCCCACATTTAGTTTCTGTAACTCCATGATTCTTTACCTTCCTCATCTCAACAGCCACCTGAAGCTTGACTACTCTCCTAGCTATGTTCTTCTTGTTGTTACTGTTTGGTCATGTCTGACTCTTCATGATCCCATGGACCACTTTCCTACTCACAATGTTACTCATGTTATGAACATAAGGAGATGGAAAAGGTAAAACTAGTGTAAGAATTATAAAAAGGTCATTGAGA